CCTGTATTAAGAGCTAAATTGGCAAAAGGTATGGGTCATAATTATTACGGGGAACCCGCATGGCCCAATGATCTTTTATATATTTTTCCAGTAGTTATTCTTGGTACTATTGCATGTAATGTAGGTTTAGCAGTTCTAGAACCATCAATGATTGGTGAACCCGCAAATCCCTTTGCAACCCCGTTAGAAATATTACCTGAATGGTATTTTTTTCCTGTATTTCAAATACTTCGTACCGTGCCTAATAAAATATTAGGTGTTCTTTTAATGGTTTCAGTACCTACGGGATTATTAACAATCCCTTTTTTAGAGAATGTTAATAAATTCCAAAACCCATTTCGTCGTCCAGTAGCAACCACTGTGTTTTTGATTGGTACCGGAGTGACCTTTTGGTTGGGCATTGGTGCAACATTACCTATTGAGAAATCTCTCACTTTAGGTCTTTTTTAAATTTGTTTTGTGGAGTTTTAATTCAATTTTAAAAAACCAAAGCTTGTGTATCTAGGGAAGCGTTTCTTCAAAGTTCTTCCTAGATACACCTAAATTCATATTCATGAATTTTTCGATTCCTTTTTGATATTTTTTAATATTTCGTATTTTGAATATGAAACTCTTAATTCATAGTGATGAAAATAAAATGATCAAATTCTAGACTAAAAAATATTTTATAAAAAGTTTTTTTATTAATTTATTAATTAAACCGAAGTTTCTTATAAATAAAGTACAAAATATTTTCCTAGAATCCCCAATATGTTTTTTATATCTTCTAGTTGAAAATGTTCTATTTTTAAAAGATATTCTTGTTTGTGATTAAAAAGATCAAATAATGTAAATATATTTGACTTTTTCAAGCAATTATATATCTTGGGAGGGAATTCTAATTGGTCAATAAAAATTAATTTCAATGAAAGTTTCTTTTTTTTTTTTATAAGTTTAGTCACTTTATTATAAAAGATAAGGGAGGATAGGGGAATTTTGTGTTCCGCATCCGCTAAATATAAGCTTTCTTCTTCCATATGGAAAAAAGGAATAAAGAAATCAATCAAGATTCGGGCGGCTTCATGAAGTGCTTCTTTTGGTGTTAAACTCCCATTTGTCCATATTTCCAAAAAAAGTATCTCTTGTTTTTCATTCCCATAAGAATGAATACTATGATTCGCATTTTGAACCGGCATGAATAGAGCATCTATAGGATAAATTCCATCGTCAAAGTGAAGGTCCGCTTTGTTGAAATATCCGCGATTTCTCTCTATTTTTAATCCAATAAAAAAATCAATAGGTTCTGTCAACCAAGCTATATGTTGTGTGTTATCAACGATTTGTACATGAGGGGGTAATATTATATCTTGGGCAGTTACATGTCGAGGTCCCTTGATACAAATAGACGCATCACAAGTTCCATATTGATTGCTCCTCAATACAATTTCTTTCAAATTCATTAAAATCTCATGTATCGATTCTTGAATCCCGCCTATGGTAGAATACTCATGCGAGGCTTTCTCAGATTTTACACGTGTGATACATGTCCCTTCTATTTCTCCCAGTAAAGCTCTTCGCATCGCAATTCCTATTGTATCGGCTTGACCTTTTATAAGTGGAGATAGGATAAAGCGGCCATAAAAAAGGCGTTTACTGTCTATTCTTGATTCAACACATTTCCACTGTAGTGTCCGAGTAGATACTGCTACTTTCTCTCGAACCATAAAAATTTTGATTTAGTATATTAGTGAATCTTCTATTTCTCTTGATATAGGTTCACTTTTGATTTCTACACACGTCGTTTTTTGGGGGGTCTACAGCCATTGTGTGGCATAGGGGTTATATCCCTTATAAAAGTTAATAGTAGACCGCTTCTATGAATAGCTCGTAATGCTGCATCTCTTCCGAGACCGGGACCTTTTATAAATACTTCAGCTCGTAGCATACCTCGATTCATTACTTTACGAAGAGCATTTATTACCGCGGTTTGAGCAGCAAAAGGTGTTCCTCTTCTGGTTCCTTTGAATCCAGAAGTACCGGCAGAGGACCAAGAAACTACCCGTCCCTGTACATCTGTAATAGTCACTATGGTATTATGGAAACTGGCTTGAACATGAATTACTCCTTTTGGTATTCTACGTGCATTCTGACGTGAACCACTACGTCCGCCCTTTCTACGCGAACTAATTTTCGATATATATTTTACCATTAAGCATTTTTTAAATCTGAGTCAGCGATACACTATATGGATATATCCATTTCACAATTCTTTCATTTATAGAATTGGTTTAGTTACTAAGTTAAGTTGCGAAGTCTTATTATCCCTGTCGTTGTTTATGTCTGGGATTGGAACATATTACTATAAGTCGTCCCCTTCTCCGTATTAATCGACATCTGTCACAAATTTTACGAACAGAAGCTCTTATTTTCATATAAAGACTCCTTACATTTCTTTTAAATTTACTTTAGAGTTTCGGTTTTATTGGAAGATTCTAATAAATACATTCATTTTTTTCTATTTTAAATTTATAATTTTGTTATTCTTGCTAAATGAATAGCTAAGTTGAGAAACGACTCCTTTGAATCATTGTTGTGTTGCAAAAGATTCATCGACTTGTTCTGAAGTAAACTAAAAAAGGATTTAGCCTATTTTCACAAACAGAACTTAAAAAAAAAAAAAGAAAGTGATTTTTGTTCTTTATTGTGATCTTTAAAATATTACCATATATAACACAAAATTTCCCCCCCGATTCTTTGCAGTCGGGCTTCTCGGTCTGTCATTATACCACGTGAAGTAGAAAGAATTACAACCCCCATCCCGCCTAAAATTTTAGGTATTTTTTTAGACGTAGAATACATTCGTAGACCGGGTCGACTTATCCGTTTTAAATTTAGAATATTGCTAAAGGTCCTTTTTTTAGTCTTGATATGTTGCAGAGTTAAAACTAAAAAATTCTTGTTGTTTTCTCGATGTTTTCTCACACTTTCAATAAAACCTTCTTTTAAAAGGAGTTTTACAATCTTTTCGTTAATATTACTGGATGGGATTCGAACCATTCTTTTTCGATCCATATCAGCATTCCGTATAGAAGTTATTATCTCAGCAATAGTGTCCCTACCCATGATAAACTCTAATTATGGGACTCAAAAATTTTATATTCTCAACGTGTTTTTTTTATTGTCTATGGATTATTGTGTTTATCTTACTTTAATTTTAATCTTAAAATTATATACGTGAGACAGATTCTACTCCATTTTTTTTTTTGAATTTTTTTTATAATACCTCAGGAGCTAATGAAACTATTTTAGTAAAATTTAATTGTCTCAACTCCCGGGGGATTGGACCAAAAATTCTGGTCCCTTTTGGATTTCCTTCTTTATCAATAACAACTGCGGCATTATCATCATATCGTATTATTATCCCGTTGCCGCGTTTTAGTTCTTTACAGGTACGCACGATTACGGCTCTAACGACTTCAGATCTTTGTAGAGGCATATTAGGTACAGCTTCTTTGATAACAGCAACAATAATGTCACCAATATAAGCATATCGACGATTGCTAGCTCCTATTATTCGAATACACATCAATTTTCGAGCCCCGCTGTTATCTGCTACATTTAAAAGGGTTTGGGATTGAATCATAGCATTTTTTTTTATTCTTTTCTTTCACAATGCAAAGGGCGAAGAAAAAAAGAAATATTTTTTGTCCACAAACATAAAACGAAACTTATTTTTTTGTTTTTGTTTCATTCTTAAGATTCTTTGGGGTAGTTTTAGAGTGATATTTTCTATTCTATCTCCGAAATAATGAATTGAGTTCGTATCGGCATTTTCGATGCTGCTATTGAAATAGCTTTTCTGGCAATATTTTTTGTTACTCCACCCATTTCAAAAAGGATCCGACCGGGTTTAACAACAGCAACCCAATATTCAGGGGATCCTTTTCCTGAACCCATACGTGTTTCTGCGGGTCGTACAGTAACTGGTTTATCAGGAAATATACGTACCCATATTTTTCCTCCACGACGTGCATTTCGTGTCATTGCCCGTCGGCCGGCTTCTATTTGTCTAGATGTGATCCAAGCGGGTTCAAGTGCTTGAAGCGCATATTTACCGAAACAGATATGATTACCTCGAGAAGCTATTCCCTTCATTCTTCCTCTATGTTGTTTACGGAATCTGGTTCTTTTGGGGTTATAGTTGATGGATTTTTATTTATTACATCTCTACTACAGAACCGGACGTGAGAGTTTCTTCTCATCCAGCTCCTCGCGAATTACGAATAAAGGATTTACAAAATGAGCTTTTGACTAAAATTGATTAATCATAGTGAAGATATCTAAATCTTCAATCTAAAGATAGATACTAAGATAAATACTACAAATCTAAATATAGATAATAAGATCTATAATAATAATATGGACTGAGAAGTCCAAATAATATTTAGGAATTGAGTGATATTTTTTTTCAATCTATTTGAAATAAAATGACTTATTCTACACTTTTTTCATGATTCTCTGAGTCTAACTAATCCTTCTTTTTGACTATTCTTGAATATTGTCTTTATATTGCTTTTTGATTCTTTTGCAAAAAGTTTTCGCGGGCGAATATTGACTCTGTCAATTTAGATTTCATTTCTAGGACGAGCCTGTTACATCTTCTAGCTACTATCTAGAAATCAAATAATTTAACATTGGTTTATTTCGCCATCCCAGCCAGTGAATATTTAAGATTTTTTTTATTTAATCTTAAATTGAATCTTTTTTATTCATAAGTTCCGTCGTCCCCATCACTTCTTACTTAATGGTTAGGTCCTAATTTTACAATGGAGCTCAAATAGTAATATATGAATAATTTGAGTCTTGAGCCATTTTTCTTAGTCTTTATTGGCTTTAAGCTCTTTACTTTAAATTTATCTAATAATTATCTATTCTATAATTTAATTTCTATAATAAGAGTATATTGTTTTTTATTATTGAATATTCTTAGATTTTTTATTCTATTTCAAATACTTGAATATGCAGAATTTAAGTATTAATGCTTCATTACATTGCCTATTTTGTTAGACCCTACATATTGGAATTTTCAATCATTGAGCTTATTTTTCTTCCTTTCTCTCTCCCTTCCAATTATCTACATCTTTTTTATATCTTGCTTGGCAACTTCAATAATATTTGAATAATTTTTGTTTATGCAAATAAATGGCAATTGCTACAACGATATGAGCGCTAATCATATCATGACTGGTTATTTAGATCCAGATAATGCGAAATTGATGAGTTAGTTATTAGGTAATTTCTTCTCGAGTGAGTAGTTGTTACTTTGGGTTTGGTTTCATGCTAACCTTAAAAAATGAACGAGTCGCACACTAAGCATAGCAATGATATTTTTATTAAAAAATAAATAAAATTTTTATTCAACCTTATAGAATTCATTATTATCAATTAGAAATCAATTAGAACTGTTCCTGCTCATTACACAAAATAATTTGTGAAATGGGCCGCTTGGTATTACAGGTAAAAAGAATGAATAAAATTTTATTGAGCTTCATCAAAAAAATATCCAAATTTTTATGCCTAAAACCCCGTAGATAGTTCGAACTGAATAACAACAATAATCCATTTTAGCTTGAATAGTTTGTCGGGGAACTCTTCCTTCTCTTATCCATTCCACACGTGCAATTTCCTTTCCGTCAAGGCGTCCCGCAATTTGTACTTGAATTCCTTTTGTATCTGCTTGTTCAGCTAATTCAATAGCTTTTTTCATTGCTTTTCGAAAGGAAACTCTATTCTTTAATTGTCCAGCTATAAATTCGGCAAGAATATTAGGATTTCCATACGGTTTTTCAATTTTTGTGATAGCAATATTCAGTTTTCGGTTTACAAAATTTAATTTTTTTTGTAGAGCTTTTTGTAATTCTTCAACTCCCTGTGGGCTATTTTCCATAAATATTTTTGGAAATCCCATATATATTATGACTTGGATTAGATCGAGTCTTTTTTTAATATATATACTTGCAATTCCCTCGGTAGCCGAGGGTTTGATTCTATTTTTTTGTACATAATTTTTGATAAAAGCTCTTATCTTTTGATCTTCTTGCAGATTTTCAGCATACGTTTTTGGTTTTGAAAACCAAAGTGAATAATGGGCCTGGTTTGTACCAAGTCTGAAACCAAGTGGATTTATTTTTTGTCCCATAAATACCTCCTATTCTGGATATCAGAATATGCTTTAGTTCTAGAATTTTTTTTCGCTTGTGGTTTTTTTAGCAAACCGAGCTCCACAGATTCAGAATCATTGAATGAAATATCTTTTAGTACAATACTGATATGGCAGGTCGGTCTTTTTATTGGATAACTACGCCCACGAGCCCGAGGTTTTAATTTTTTTCGAGCAGTCCCCTCATTCACTTCAGCTTTACTAATAACTAAATTTGCTTTATTTGCAGCCATAGTGTAACTAGCATTTGATGCGGCTGAATAAACCAATTTTAAAATTTGATAACTGGCACGATAGGGCATGAGTTCTAATATAATAAGTGTTTCCTCATAGGAACGCCCACGAATTTGATAAATAACTCTTCTTGCTTTATTAGCCGACATAGCTATACGTCGACCTAAAACGTATACTTCTGGGGTTTTTTTATTTAGCATCTGGTACATAAAGTTTGCCTCCTACTAATGACTCATAAGCATCAAGATATTTTTTAGTATTCACATTACCGATGAGATCTATTATCATTTTTTGCATGTCCTCGAAAATTTAAAGTAGTTGCAAATTCTCCCAATTTGTGTCCGACCATATGATCCATTATATAAATAGGGAGATGCTCTTTCCCATTATGAATCGCAATAGTATGACCAATCATTATTGGAATAATAGTAGATCCCCGGGACCAAGTTATTATTATTTCTTTTTCTCCCTTTATGTTAAGTTTCTCAATTTTTTTTAATAAATTCTGAGATACAAAGGGATTTTTTTTTAGTGAACGTGCCACAGTTTACTCCTATAAATTTTATTATTCTTTTATTTTTTTATTTTTCATATAATTGAATGAAGAAATTTAATTTGCTCTATTCTATTAATTTTGATACTATAATATATTATATTAACTGCGATGACGAAGAATGAGCTTCTCACTATATTTATTCCTCTTTCTAGTTTTTCTTCCAAGTGCGGGATAACCCCAAGGGGTTGTAGGTTTTTTTCTCCCAATAGGGGCTCTACCCTCACCGCCCCCCATGTGGATGGTCTACGGGGTTCATAGCTACTCCTCTAACTACAGGACGCTTACCTAGCCATCGTTTAGCTCCAGCTCTACCCAAATTTTTTTGGTTGAACCCAACATTTCCGACTTGTCCGATTGTTGCGGAGCAATTTTGGGATATAAAACGGACCTCGCCAGAAGGTAATTTTAATGTGGCTGATTTACCCTCTTTTGCAATCAGTTTCGCCATTGCACCCGCTGCTCGAGCTAATTGTCCACCCCTTCCACGTGTGATTTCTAGGTTATGTATAGTCGTGCCTAAGGGGATTTCGGTCAAAGGTAGGGTATTTCCAATTTGATTGAAACATCTGTACCAGAAACAATCGTATCTCCAATTTGAGCCCCTCTCGGATGTAAAATATACTTCTTCTCACCAGTCCGATAATGTATTAGACAAATGTTTGCATTTCTATTAGGGTCATATTCTATGGTTATGATTCTACCATATAGGTCTTTTTCATTCCGTCGAAAGTCTATTTTACGGTATAGGCGCTTATGACCCCCCCCCCCTATGCCTTGATGTAATGATTCCTCTAGCATTACGACCTTTACCACAATGATGCTTTCCAGAGAGCAAATTTTTCCTTCGAGCAAATTTTGGGCTGTTTACGGTTTCGCTCGGGTTATCAGTTTTGTATAATTTTATTCCCATGATATTAATGATTTTTATTTTGGATTGAAAGTTTATTTGTTTGGAGGCATACGTCTAATTCTCTGCGGTAGCCATTGCATTATATGTCCTCTAATAGGGAGGGCCTACCATTATGTGACCCTTTGCCAGAAGCGTAGCACTACTCAAAGTTTATGACGTGGACATAAAAAAACTATTTATTATTTTTTAATATTTTAATAACTAAATCCGTTTTTCTGTAAATACTATATCTTTTATTCCATCCCGAATTTGAGTATTAGTTTAAGTTGAAACTAGTTAGTTCGAGTAAAGAATGTTTTTGTGAATAAGTGTTCCTATATTAAGTGTTCCTATATATATATATAGATATATATATATATCTAATATAGATATATATTCTCTATATGTATTGGTATCCTAGAATTATCTATTATGATATATGAAAATGATATATGAAATGGAAAATAGTCAAAATAAAATCTATCTAGGAACATATATCTTATATGATATTTGATTGATTTGATATGGACAAATTTATCTAGGAGCATATATATCTTATATGATATTTGATATGGATTATGAAGGAAATGCTCAAAGTAGATCTATGTTAATATATATCATATAGCCTAAAATATCACAAAAAGAAGAATTGGAGGGTCAATAATATTTTGTTTTGTGTAAATGACTAATAATGTGCATCCAGTAGGAATTGAACCTACGACTTCGCCAATTATGAGTTGGGCGCTTTAACCACTTAGCTATGGATGCTTAAACGAGACCATCATCTATCAAAATTGAAATTAAAATAGAATAATTATGGCAATTTTTAATCTTGGAATATTTAATTACATTGAATTACAGCAAAAAATGTCGTTTAGATAAAGAATTTATGAAATCTGAAATACTAAACAAAAACTAGATTTCTTTTATCTTCTATATTTCTTTTATCTTCTATATTTAATATTTAATTATATAATATTATATTTATATATAATAATAATATGATATAATAGATATACAATATAGAATACAATAATAAAAGTATTAATACTTTTTAATACTTTATACAAAATTTTAGGGAGGTATGAAATGAATCCTAAGCCAGAAAAGTTCTGGATTTTCGAGTTACGAGAGATACTGAGAGAGATTAAAAAATCAAAATATTTTTTAGATTCATGGACCCAATTGAATGCAATCGGATTTTCAATTCATATTTTAGTCTCCCAAGAACGATTTTTAAAACTGTTTGACCCACAAATTTGGAGTCTTATACTTTCACCTAATTTGCAAGGTTCAAAAAGAAATAGATCAATCAAGATTAAGGGAGTTTTACTAGTTTTCGTTGGCGTTGTTATATTTATATATCGTATTAGCAATCAAAATATGGTTGAAAGAAAGAATCTCTATTTAAAAAGACTTTTTCCTATACCGATGAATTGCAGTGAATCCATAACTGATCAAGATAGTGGTTATTCTACTCTAAATCGATTAAGTATTTTACTCCTTTCTTTTCCAAAAGGCAAAAATCAAGTTGATATTGATTTAATGAATCCAAACTATAATACTCGGGTTTTACCAATAAAAAAAAACCCTAACATGCCTCAATCAAAGTCAGATTCGCCGCAGGGGAAAAACTTTATTAGAGAAATTATTAGACGAACTAGAACGGAATTTAGAGAAATTCCAATGAAACTTCTTGGTTTCAATCTGGTATTCTTAAAAGAGAAAAAATCGCTTGAGTTTCCTTATAATTCCACAAGATCTAGTTCCTTACAAGTAAAAGATTTCGGCCAACCGAAAGGATCCTTGGATAGAAATTTTTTGGATTCTATTAGAAATGAGGATTCGGAATATTCTAAATTAATCAATCAAAGAGAAATTAAACAACGAAAACAAAGATCAACTTCTTGGGATCCTTACCTTTTTAAAACGGAACAAAAAGAGATCAAAGGCCGTAAACCAACGCTAAGCCTTCCGTTTCCGAAAGAAAGGGAACAATCTCGGGGCAATGCCCCGAGGTCCCTTTCTTCATTTTACTCTGATAGATGGTCAGAACTTTATATGGGATCAACTCCTATTGCTAAGTCCACTATGGATCCGAAATTTAGGAATAAATCTCTTTCTTTTGTCCGGCAAGCGGAAAAAAAAGAAATAGTTAATCTATTTAGAATACTTATGTATTTAAAAAGAACTGTTTTAATTAAGTCTATTTCTTTTGATCCCCAAATAAAAAATTCGAAGAATACTGGATTTCTTAAAAAAACTCCATTATTTTATTTTGTTAACCGATTTCTTGAAAGTAAACAAGGAAGCTATGTGCTACAACATGATTGGAAATCAAAAGAAAAATTACAAAAAAGTCCAGGTTTATTTATTCTGACAATAAGCGAGCCGGATCCAGTCTATAATAAGGGCTTTACTTTTTTTGTGAATATAGATTCATATGGATTGCATAAAATCAAATTATTGAATCAAATATTAAATACTAGGACTGACTCGAAAAATCAATCTTTGTTGGTTCTTTCGCCTATTTTTTTTCGTTATAAGGAGAAGAACTATTTTTTTTCAACGAACGGGACAAAACTACGTCTGGATTGAAGCAGTGAATCAATGTATATCTATATTGATTCACAATCTGATTCAAATGCAATCTAATACCTATGTGTACATAAGAAATCTATTGAATCAATTTGTTTTCATAAATATATCCAATTGCAATTTCAAATATCGAATTAGGAGAATTCAAGGGGATCAAAAAGAAATGGGTCTTCTCAATCATCTAACTCATATGACATTTAAAATAAAAACGGGTCAACCATATAAATCCAAATGGTCAAATGGGAC